GTTAACATCACAATGTGTATGCACTCATTTTATATCATACAAATCTAGTAATAAACATTTATTTTAAAATAACTAAATTTTAAAATTAGTTATTTTTAAATTTAACTTTCATTTTAACAGATTTAGTGAAAAAATTATACACACCAAAATTACTGATCCAAGTAATTAGTTATAACCTTTGTAAAATTCTGTTAAGAATGAATTTTATTTTTGTTTTGGTGGGGAAAAAAATATGCTTGTTGTTTTGTATACATTCCATTTGCTGTTCACAGCTTCACAGCCCGCTCTCTCTGTGGATTAAGTAGTAACTGACAACTTTTTGCTCAACTGACTGGCAGGTATCATTCGAAATGCCAGACTTATCTTTATGCAGATTTCCAAAGGTCACCATTTATGTATGTAAATTCTGAAGGGCACTAACTATATACAATTGACAGATTCTGACAGCCTCGATATCTCCAAGGGTAGAATAAGCAGGAATGCCTGTCTGAATAATTAATGTGCTTTTACTCTGCTCATGGCTGGTTTTTACATCCTGCACATTCTGACTGTGGTTTTAAAGTTAATTAGAAAACATAATCTCATAGCTAACCAAAATTTCTTTTTTAAATTTCTATTTTAAAAGGGGACAGAAAAAGAGAGATAATTAATGACCTTCAGTTTAAAGTGCTATATTTGTAGAAATCACTCCTAACTAGAGATTAAAATTAACACCTAGCTCTGGGTATTATTTCTGTAAAAAAATAGACATTACTATTTCTGTGAAGACATTACATCGTTACTGTATAAAAATTGTATAAAAGCAAATAAGCAAAGAATTCTGCTTCCTACACAGCTCAATAAATGGCGCCATCACAAACAGGGTTGCCACCTTCAAACCTGAGACTCATTTCTGACTTCAACTTTTCTCTCACTATTCAAATGCAATCAGTCACTAAGACCTATGAATCTGCCTTCCAAGTATTCTTTTTTTTTTTTTTTTGAGATGAAGTCTCACTCTGTTGCCCAGGCTAGAGTGCAATGGCATGATCTCGGCTCACTGTAACCTCTGGCTTCTGGGTTCAAGCAATTCTCCTACCTCAGCCTCCCGAGTAGTTGGGATTATAGGTACCCGCCAACATGTCTGGCTATTTTTTTTGTATTTTTTTTCTATTTTTATTTGAGACGGGGTTTCACCTGGTCTCTACTGGTCTACCTGGACAGGCTGGTCTCCAACTCCTGACCTTGTGATCCACCCACCTCGACCTCCCAAAGTGCTGGGATTACAGGCATAAGCCACTGCGCCCAGCCCTAAATATTCTTAAATGTGTCACTACCACTCAATCTCCATTGTTGTTGTGTTAAACTGGATCTTTCTCATACCTCACCTGAGTTATTGCAAATATTTCCTAGGTAATCTACCTGCCTTCAGTCACATACTCACACATGCTGCTTCCAGAGTTATCTTTCTAATACAAATCCATGAGCAAAGCCAATGGCACAATATGAAGACACATTGAAAACCGAAATTAAAAAGATGCTATAAAGAGAAAATATTTAGAATATATAAACTAACGGAAGGAGGCATTAAACAAATTTGTGTAATGTGGTAATGTATGTTCTGAAGAAAAATAAGGCAGGAGATGGGGCAGAGGGTACTCCCAAACAGTTTTCATTTTAAATACGAATGTGCAGGGAAGGCTGCCATGAGAAGAGAATACCTGAAGTCTAGGAATCAAGCTATGTGAATAACTGAAGAGACTGATTGGTAGAAAGACCCAGGTTCTTATGTGGAGTGGCCTAGTGTGTTGCACAAACAGCAATGAAGCCAGCGCAGCTGGAGAGCAGAGAAGGTTGAAGATGGAAGAGGTCTCCAACTGCCGTATATGACAACAGGCATTTTTACCACAGCAGAAAGAGCTATGCTTTCTCCAGTGACTGTATTCCTTCCCTGTAGTTAAATCTCAAATGAAGCTTCTAAAAGATTTATCAGAAAGCTTAGTAAAAATTTGTAAATTGCTAGACTGACCATGAGTATAAACTCTGGTGAACAAAACCAGGAGTTTTACATTTATGTTCTAGATGTTATTACAGTTCTTACTATTTATGCTTCTGTGTACTATCATTTACTTATACCTCAAAACAAAATATATTCTTAAGACAAGTTTAATCACTTGGGATTTAAGAGTCAAATCCATGTGTCAATCTTCTTGATTATTTTAAGTTTTTGGTTAGCTCCTTAATAAGTCTGATTAGTGTTTATGTTATGAAACCGAAAAATAACCTGTAATAGAAGTAGGGGAAATATTAGCTGCCATTTTCTTATTGTTGTCTTGAGCATGTATTAATAAAATAATCTTCATTTTCCAATGTTGATGTTAGGGCTACATAAAAGCAATTTTTGAAATGTGAGGACTAGTTTAGTTAAAAATGATAGTTAATTCCATAAATGCACTTAACCAAATACATATAACATGAGTACACTAAAATACCCTTTCAAACAGCCACCACCATCAAAATCCCAACACGTAGCCATTTGACATCCAACAGGATGGCTGTAATCAAAATGACAGACAATAACTTTTAGCAAGGATACAGAAACACTGAAACATTCGCCTAGTTCTATTGGAAATGCAAAATGGTGCGGCCACCTTGGAAAACAATTTGGAAGTTCCTAAAAAGCTAAACATACAGTTAACATATGACCCAGGAAATTCAACCTTAGGTATATATCCAAGAGGAATAAGTACATATACCTACACAAAAACTTGTACAGAAATTTCCAAAGCAGCATTATTCACAAGAGCTTAAACATCTAAAAAAGTCCATCAACTGAAAAATGGATAAACATAATGTGGTATATATCCATATAACAGAATATTATTCAGCCATAAACAAACTGAAGTAATGATTCATGCTACAAGGGTGATGTTGTGCTAACTGAAAAAGACAGATATAAAAGCCCAAACATATGACTCTATTTATACAGTAGACCCTCAGTGACAGTATGTTAGTGTTTGCCAGAGGGTGGGGGAAGAGGGGAACAGAAAATAACTGCTAAAGGATACAGGGTTTCTTTTTGGGAAAATAAAAATGTTCTGAAATTAGAGAGCAGTGATAGCTGCACAACTTTGTGAATATAGTAAAAAAAAGAAAAAGTATACTTTAAAATGATGAATTTACGGCACATGAATTATATATGAATTAAAACATTAGAAATCTGTGAAACATTCAACATGATAACAATCCCTATGATTTCTCCAGAAGCTTCATATTTGGGACCTGTAGCAATCATTAAATTAAATATCATTAAGGCTTCATGCTTTCTGATTATTCAAAGGAAACAGCAGTCTCTCAATGGCCATCCTTGCTCTTTTATGGACTCTTTCACAAACGAGTGTGTGGGCCTGGAATGTATAACGTCACCTTCCCTGTCACAACAACTCCTCCGTGAATTTCGCAGCTTCTCTGAAGGTTTCGGAGCCTTCAGCAGAAGTGAACTGCTCCCACCTTTCTTTCTTTAGCAATCTGTCAGGAACTCTTTCAAAATGAGCACAATAGTATCTATAGTGCTTCATCTTTCTCACCAGTTTTTAATATGTCCACTACAAATATACCTAGGTTTGTTTGGATTATTTTTTTAAAAAAAGGATGACTGCATGAGCATGTTTTGTCTATTTATTTATTTGACTAACATTAAGTACCAAATAAACCATTACATATTGAACTTAGCAAAAGGATATCTGCCAAATTTAGTTGTTAATGTATAAACAAGCTAATGATACAAATGAAAGACAATCAATCATATCTATTCTGAAAGAAGGAAATCATATTAATTGTATATGTGAACGAATGTGAAGAAGAAAACACTGACAATGAAATTATAAATGAAAGAGATTCAATCATGTCTCTTCTGTAAAACAGGAATAACATTGTTTGCATATAGAAATAAATATGGGGAAGAAAACAATGACAAAGAAATAAAGGCAAAAATATTTAAAAGACAAAACATCACCTGAAAAATGTTAGTGCATACAAAGACAAGTACAATATATTTACTATTTTAAGTCACTCATTTCATTACTCTTAAAGCTCAGAGGAAAGTACAGAATATTTGAAAATAAATGATAGCAATTAAAACACATATCAATTATGCCAATAATTCAAAATGAAATGAACTTAAATCATTTTAATACGAACAACAGTAAGAACATTAATATTTCCAATTTTAGGCTGTATATTTATAATAACATATATGCTAAACTTCACAAAGTAACCTTACAGGAATTACTTTCAGTAACTTCAAGAAAAGAGGAAATTCCAATTGTACTGTTGCTTGATTAATAAATATGCAGGCCTGTTTTGCCTTCTATGATTTTCTGGGGAAGATATAAATATGTATATTGACTTTAAGTTACACCCCTTGAAATGTTTTATACTGGACTTCATAAACATTTTTCTGATAAATAACAACATAATTTTTGAAAGTAATTTGCTTAATATTAAACATCTTGTTGCTATCAAATGAATATATTTTGTTACCTAATATTTATATTCAACATTCTGAATATGTAATTTAAAACGGAATGAATTAAACAAAAATGACTTTAACACATTGTGTTAGTGTACATGCAGCAACTGGAAAAAGAAACTCAGTATGATTATTCTATATTAGATAAGAAAGTAATAAAACACATGTGCCTTTCCAAAAAGATGGAGACCTGCCAAAACTGTTATTTTTAGCTCATTTATTTTTCATATAGCTGGAGTATATTTCCTCGCAAAAGAAATATTTTGAATTAATCATTTATAATTTGTTCACAAGAAATATAATTTTTGGAAAATGTATAACAAGAAATGGCAATTTATTTTCCAAAATATGTAAAATTCCATTTTAGTAACACACTACAAATATGCTGACATTTCAATGTGATAAAGACTTAAAATAATATATTAGCTTGAAGATAAATATATTTAAGTAAATTTTGAAATTATATGGAGGTCAATAATAATCTAATTACCTTAATTTCCTCTTCAACTGCTAAAAATCCATGTTTTTTTCCTCCGATATACCAAATTAAACATGTCTGAAAAAAAAAGAAAAGAATGTTAAATTTGATGATGAGAAAATTAAATATTTTATTACATGGTTACAGTTGTAGACTATTTGAATATTTCTTGTTGCTTGCCAAGTCTATGATTTCCACAATGCCTGAACTATCACAGCAGAACTTTAGTATGTAGAGGAAATTTAGGATACAGATGACACATCTTCCTGTACTACATAATTTATTATAATGTTTACTGAGGAAGTTGATGGATTTGGTAGCTATTGATTTTACAGTTTTGCTAATGAATATAACAGTTTTTAATATAAATTTTGTTATTTCCAAGAAATGTCCTTATTTCTTGCCACAAGCTCTTCTAGCTAAGATACTGGGATGAATCTTAATCACTTTTACCATTAGATAACAGCCAAAAAAACAAATTGAGAAACACCTTGGCACAGCTAATCATACACATATATATATGCACACCCTTATTTATGTACACAGATACAAATACTATTACCTATTTATTTATAATAATCTAAATAAATTTAAATTTTAAAACTCATAAATGAACCAAAATAGTTTATTTGAATCAAAGATTTATAGAAGTATTTGAGTTTTTTCTTTAAATTACCATGACATTTTTATTTTATTAAACAAATAATAAGACAGACTTTTAACACCCAGAAAATAGTACTGTCCTTCAAAGTAGTTTTTCTTTGGACATTTAATGTTTCCTAATGGTTTTGCAACTGGCCATATCAATTTTTGAATGTTCCAGTATGTCTATTTAAAGAGCTTTACAAGAGAATCAGCTATGTTAGTTAATTATTATTATATTTAGCATTTATTTATGCTATTAGTGGAAGTATGCAGTCAGGAGGTTAAGTAAATATATATATGCTAAACAATGACAAAATCCATTATGTAGTCTAGAATTTTGCCCCCAAATGGATAAAGAATGAAATAGATACAGGGCAGAAAGTCAATAGCATAAAATCAAAATTGAGCTCTACTTTACCAAATCGCTATTGATTAAAATAAGATATACTATGATATAAAATGAAAACAAATTAGTGGAAGCTAATGAAAGCATTGCATTTTGTTCTGGGACGTAAAAACATTAAGGCAATGAAACTCACTGTGTTTTTTGGAGTGTGTCCACTTGTATTTGCACAATTAGTGAGGTTTTTATACCACAAGAACAATTTAAGTTCATACTTGAATGCCACATTTGACTGCTTGGACAGGAAAAACAATTTTTAATCAACTGCTTAAATTTCACTGGATGATTATTCTAGCATGCTCTCTCGATAATTATTTACTGTTATTTTTTCCCTAGTTTTCGAAGAACTGGCATAACTCATCTTCAAATATTCTGCATATCTAAACAATCCTGGGTTGTTCTCTACAGGTTTGCCTACAATAGTATTATATTTTAGATCTTTTAATTTTTCCCTCCCATCTGGGAAATATATTCTGACATCCAAGCATGACTAAGTTCACAAAGTTATCATGAATACTATGAAACCCACTTCGCCACAGACGAAACCAATCTTATCTTCCCTGACACTCCTATACCTCTTTGTAGATTTCTCGATTTTGCTGAAAGCTACACTATAATATGAATTGCTTGAGAACAGAGGCTGTGACTTCCTCAATCCTTATCACCCCTCCCTAAGGAACCAAACAACTAACAGCACCACAAAATGCTGACTAAGTAAACAAAACATTTCCATTTCTTAATTAAAGGAAAAAAACCACCAAAACCAAAAAAAAAAAAAAAAAAACTTGTTTATTGGAAACTCTCTGTATTGGCTGCACATAAACTGTGACCAAAAACAAAAGTACACTATTATATGTGTCTTTGAATTTGTTTGTATAGCTACCTTTATAGGTTCCTTTTCTTTTTATAGGTAAGGACAAAGAATCTTCCATTTACAGTTTGGCTATTCAACATCTCATTGCCTCTCTCAATTACAGCCACTTATGGCACTTGAGAGTCAGCAGACAGCTCCGACCAAGGACAAGCTTACATAGAGCCACTTAGCCTGCTAATGCGAAGGCAGCCAAGTGTGAGGGAAAACGCCAGAAAGAAAAGGGGAGCAGGAAGGTGAAGAAAATAGAAAAGAAAATTGCAAGAAGGGCAGGAAAAGGTGCTATGTCAAATGATACTGTTCTATCAGTAAAAAGTAGTGAGATTGAATTTGTTTTATAATTAATAAATTTGATCTAAAAGGGACCTTTTAAAAGGAGCTACTAGAAATATATTTTTGAGAAATGTGAGTAGGAGCAAAGCACTCAGGGAAGACAAAAAACAGTGGTTTATTTTGGATAAAAAGGAATGCATGCAAATATATGTTCATAGTTTCATTACTTTATAGTTCCATATGGTTCAAAAGCGACCTAAAATGCAATGCATAAGAAATCACTGCAATTCACTCTAGGTCTTGAGAATTAGCTAGAAATACTTTGAGTTTGAAAACTAGACAGCTTTAATTAAAAGTTAAAAGTTAAATTAATATTTGCTTTAAATCAATCCTTGTAAAGCAATCACATATAAAAGATCTCCAAAATGGAAAATGAAATAAAAATAAGATTCCATTCATCAATTATAAAAAATAAAACTGGAATACCTGATAAATATGAATGTTCATGGTAAATTTTCTAATCCTAAAATAGCAAGGTTAAAAAGTAGAGAAACTTCATTGATTCATCAAATATTTACTTAATGCCAGGCACTGCTCTAGGTGGTATGAATTCAGGAGTGAACGTAACAGATGAAAATGGCACTCACAGAGCTTACTTCTGCATTAGAGTTGTGGAGCAGTAAGTAAGAGAAAGAGATAGATACACACAACACGCACACAGACAGAGAAAATGTGAGTCTGTGTCTATACATCTACATATATACATTTTACATATTTATAAAATATATCACTATAGTATTATGTGTAATAGATATATGTATAAGTATTTTACATATTTTTCTACTTAATATGTAAAATTCTTACTTTTTGGCAGGTTAAATTCATATTTAACCTTTAAAACAATACCTTGAGGTCGGAATGGATATTAACACACTGAGTGTCAACGGCAGAATTTGAATGCAAAAAGGCCAAATTCACAGAGTCTACATCCTCAAGGTTCTCAAATAACATACTGATTATTACTGCCAATGTTTCTTACAGGGATGTCTATAATGAAAGACAGAAAGTAAACTTCTAAAAATCAATATTTTAGAAAATCATCATGTCAGAATTTCATGACACTGATTACTGTTAGAAGATACTTTTCACATTTTAGGGATTAAAATAAGATTCCAGGAGTCCAAGTAAAAATTAATGTGGAATTAAGATGACAATATGTTATTTTTTCAGTTTCAGTGAAATTAATTCCAATATTATGTGGCATCACCTACTGAACTATCCAGTCAAGGTTCATAAATCAATGAAGAAGTGACATGGACAAACATGTTTTTAAAAGATGATTCCGTTGTGAGTTAATAGATGGCTTTCAGCCTAAGATGACAGTGGTATTTTTTTAAACGGTCAGTGAAAATTGAGATTTAAAAAACAATACAACAAATTAGAGAAATTTTTATGAGGCAATATCTTTTTGTCTACGAGAAGTAATCCTTAAATCATTTTTATAATAAGACAGTTAAATATTAGGTATTAGTGCTATAATTTTATTATCTGTAAAAAGAAGTGTATAGCATTCATATCCATCATTTCAAATTGTTTGGAAAGTTAATACTAAAATGTGAGGCAATGATCTGAAAATAGACATAATTACCACATTTAGGACAGTCCACCTCTATACCTTCAACTAGGCCTTTGAATATTATCTTTTTACTTATGATGCTCAAATCCTTTTCAACTACCCCTTCAGGTCTCACCCGACTAGTCTATGGGTGGTTTTCAAATATCTTCTACTTTCATTTCTTATTGATAACCATCATCTTGTGGCACCTCTAGATAGTGCTCAGATTGTTTTTTCATCTCTATTTCCAATATCGTAATCCACATAACTATGTGAAATAAACAGAAAATAAATGTTCACCCTATTTTACAGATAAGAAAGCTGTAATTCACAAATACTACCACAGTTATTACATAATACGTTAAAGGCAAAAGCTCAAGACAATTTGTACTTAGTTCAGCCACCTGTTACTAATCATGTTCCTCTGGTCTACACATCTCAATAGTACCTCTTAGTGCACCATTTAATCCCCTCTCAAACCTACCTTGCAAATGGTTCCCAGAACAACCTAAGACTTCATTTTTCTCATGCGCGTTTTCTGCTCAATAATCCACAAAAGCACTGTTTTGTTTTTCAAAGAGTGTGGTTTTTAAGAATTTCTAAAGGATGAATACAATTTTTGTGTTACAAACACCGCTTTTTGATACCACTCTACTCCAAATAGAATTTTTACAACAGCCAGCCTAGGTTGCTGACTGGCACTTCAGACAAGATTATTCTGGACAGAGTGGCTTGTCAGTTAATGTGATGGCCTGCACACTTGTTCAAAGTTTTAAAGACTGTACTGAAGTCTCACCTTCCCAAAAAATTAGGCTCAAATAACTGTTTTTGCACAAACTCACCTCTAAATGTTTGGTACACTAAATTGGTAGTACAAAGTTTAGTCTTAAATGCACCCATATTTTTTACATGTTCGCCTACGGCCCCAAGAGAGCACTCAATTTCATAAAGGAAAGTATCTGGGGGTGGAACTTTGAGAATGGCTAAGTGAGGAGGCTGGCAAATAGTCTCCACAAAAATCAATGATAAAACTGGACAAAATTGCCAAAAACAACCTCTTCAGGACTATAGAAATTAACCAGTCATACAGCAAATTAGGAAATATTTATCAAGAAAAACTACTAAAATTTTGGTAAGAACAATGGGGGTCCTACATCATTTTGCTAGGGAATTTTCCTCTCTTTCTCTCTCCCATCTCCAAATAAACTTAATGTCAGATCATAAAACAAATCTTGGTAAATATAAGAGGATGAAAATCATATAAATTGTGT